AAACATGTTGACTGGCTGCCCGCAGAACTGGCAGCCTACATCCATCTGGTAGCCCAGTTGGAACGCACGCTCCTTAGTGAGAAAGGCTTCGGTGGCGAAAGCAGGAGTCCTACCTTTCTCTAGGGCACTGAACTTCTTGCTCGCAAGGGCTTCCTTGGCAATCTCATAACACAACCGGTACTTAACCCCTCTCTTGCAAGCAGAATCCCTCTCTAACGTGCGAATGTAGGCCTCCTTACACAGTTTTTTTGACAAGGGCGGTGGAGAACAAACCTAGGGGAATGTCAAAGCCCCTGTCGTCTCTGATGGTCATGAAATCCGACATCACCCAGCCAAGCCTAGACAGCGACATGCGCAGGGCGGTGAGAGGGCCAGCCACGCTGCGCCACGAACCAGAGACCAAGCTAAACACGCCCGTCCAAGCACGCCTGAGCTCAGGAAGACCGATAGCCCAGGGGAACGCACCAGACTGGGCGAGCCAAATCTATTTCGACCACCTGATGATAGGCGAGCAAGCGGTCCTCCGACACGGATCGGATTCGAGAGTCGCCGACGCGGCGAGCGAACGAAGCTTCGACAACGGTCGAACGGGGCTAAAAAGTTTGCGACGAAGGAGGAGGAGGCCGCAATCTGAGGTCCAAGTGATCTCACTCCCGTAACCCGCGCCAGCAAGAGGACCCGCAGTGAAAACCTCGATGATGGCGCCTCTCTTGAGTACCTTATTCTGTCTGCGCAAGCGCTTAGTGCGCCTGCAGGCAGCTGCTAGCCTAGACTTGAGCTTGGCACACCTGCCACCTGTCCTGAGCGCCCGACCAGCCGTGTAGTCCGCGCCTAGGTTGACATCCGAAGATACGGGATGGGTCGAGAGCTCGGCCAACTGGGACGACACCTGCTCGCCCACGGTTCGAGACGAGGCAACCATGCAGGTCTTGTCCAGGGCGAAGCTACAACCCAAGACATCTTCCACACCACCCTTCAATTGCCGCGCGCAACTCACAACAAAAACAATAACCTGCGAGAACAAAAAAAACAGCACTGGAAAGGCCGAGATCGTCAATGTAGACGTCAAGTTCAAGGATGGGCTGGCGAATGATATTGTCGTAGCCCTCCATTACGTGAACTCGGATAAATGTGGTGGCGAAGTTGCACCCCGCCACCACCCCACTCAAAGCGAGTGAGGGGCCTCCAACGATGCCGCCCAGGCTGAGGAAACGCCCGCAGCGATAAGCGAAGAGAGCAACTCGAGCCATGGCAGGCGGAAGCTTGTGTCGAACATATCTCTCTTGCAAAGCAGACAAGGAGATGTGCTCATACAATTTCCTCAGATCAAAGAGGACACTGCGCGACACATCCCCCCTCTTGACTCTAGCTTCAGACCGAACAGCCTGTCTCCAAACAACATCAGCCGCACCCCAATGCTTGCCAGCGGCCCGGTGCCTCCCGGGGTGCTGCTGCCCCCAATGCAGGGCCAGGGGCCGTCTAAGACGACCCCAGACCCTGTGCCGGGAGCAGATCACACGATTGGCTTGTAGCCACCGGCAGGCTTCGAGAGGAGGGCGAGGAGCACGACAGAAATCTGGGGCGGCAGGCACCCCACCCCACCGCTTCGATGAGAGCGAAGACCATGCTAAGACACTCAAGCGCTAGATCCCCCAGGAGCGAACAATGGCGACAGTGGAACCCATCCAGGGACACCGCGGAACCAGGCTTATTCCGCTTGGAGGCTGATCGGATGTCATCCACTTTGAGACGGGGGAGGGGCCCCAGGATCTGACCAGAGGGCACAGCCCCTGATCCTTGACCCCATGCCGCGCTAAACCGAGCACCCTCAGCCCTCAGCAGCGAGAGGGGATCGGCCACAGTGCTCCCTTTGGCACTAAGCGTGGTGGTCGGGGTCCAGGGGGTGGGATCTCTGGTGATCTGATGGGCCCGTTTCGAGCCCGAAGCAATGCCAACGTGCAGCCAGGCGGACCAGTCCATGCGCGACTGCTTGGCGAACAACTTGCTGGCGGCCTCGAGCTCCTCTTTAACTTCACACTCGAAATCCACTAGATCTTCGATCGACTGATTAGAGGCGCCAGCAATGTGAGCAGCTCGGGAAAAAAGGTGGGACCTGGCTCCCGCGTGCTGCGCGATGTGCATCGGCGGCTGGCACGGCAAGAGAGTTAGCTTGTCCGACAACTGGCGGTCGCCCTCACGGCGAGCAAGAACTAAGGCGTGCCACTGAGCCGCCAGCCAACGTATATCTCGATGCTCGGGGTACTTGCAGCGGCCGTCAGCAGTGAGGAGTGAGCGCCAGACCAACTGAGGCCCCGACCCTCTGCAGCCCTTCTTGGGCAGCTCGGCCCCCAGAATCGGCGCGAGGTCGGACTCGGCGAGGTCCGCCCAAGCCTGGTACAACGGACCCAAGAGCTTGTGGGCTCCCCAGAAATCAAGATTGGCCACCTTGTCCAGGACCACCCTGGCAAGGTCAAGCTCTCGAGTCCACGAGGACCCACAAGGGCGGGGGCCGAAGACCGCCTCCACTGGAAGCGGGGGAGGTTTGCGAAACGACAACTCCTGCAACGCGGCAAGCTGAGGGTAGAAAGTCAAGTCGACAGGCCTATGAGGGGTCAGGGTCGTCGAGAAATCAACCGCACACTCTCTCACTCCTTTGCCCAGCCCTCCCGAGCAAACAGAGTAATCAAAGACAGAAGGCTTCCCCGCAGGGAAAAAGTACACGAGGCTGGGGCCACGAGGACTCCCCTCAGCTCTTTGACAAACTCCGAGTCTTCAAGGGGCGGGGGCTCAAAGTTGTGGCCCGATCCAGCAACAAAAGGTAACTCACAGCTGGAAAGAAACCTGCCAAGCCGAGACGCAATGCCAAGGTTGCGATCTGACAGTTCTTCAGTGTGGTAGAGATAGGCTGACGCAGCAACGAGAGGAGAGGTTCCAGGAAGATGAATGGACCCCGCAAGACACCTACCTGGGATTATCTCCCCACCCTGCAGCGCCTGAAGGCCGATCCAATCCTTGACGAAGGTCGCAACTCCAGCCGACGTGTCCGCCTCAGTCTTCTCCGCATCAGACCAGAGGGACTTCCAGCCCCTCTTGATGCACCACGAGTTAGCAGCCTGCACGTCTTCCCCTCTCAAGCGGTGCTCATGACAAAGAACGACGTGGGCGTGTGAGATACTCTCCAGAAGGCCTCGCATGTGCCCCAGGAGTTGCAGTTGATGGTTTTGATACAAAGCTCAACACTGCTAGGATCAAGTCTCACTCCTCCATCCTTGTCACAAGCCAGCTGAGGATCTACTCTGTGCAGGCTGCGGATGGGCGCCTGTGCCGGCACCCGCGTTCTGAGACTTAGAATCGAGACAATCTGGCCAAAGGTGGGGACAGGCAGGATGGCGGATCGGAGGAGGAGGAGGACGTGCCAACGCCTCCTCCTTTCCAAGCTCATCTTGCCTAGAGACATGCAACCCTCTCTCATGGAGAAGGGATTCGAACCTATCATCCACATCTGCCAAAGGAAGCTGAACCACAGTGACAGAAGTGACAACCTTGCCTTCTCCTGATCCAAGCTGCACAACTGGATAGAGCAGGGAATGCCGGGAGAAATCGCAGGCAGCTCTGGAAAAAGTCCTGCCTGGCCTGGAGTCCAGCTGACACGACGAGGGCGGCGACACAACCGCATCGGCACGAGCAAGCAGCGACGACCATCGCGAGGTGGGTGAGGAGGAGGAGGAGGAAGAAGCAGGGGTGCTGGTGGGGGAGGACGAGGAAGTGATGGATAATGAAAAGGACGAAGAAGACGCGGAGGGGGAGGTTGACAGGTGGAGGAGATGGTGGTGAGGACGTGGAGGAAACAAGGAGTAGGACGAGAGGGGCATGTTGAGGAGGATGAATAGCTTGATGAGGAAGACTCGGTGATCCAGCTGCCTACGGCAAGTCCCGCCCCCGTGCCTAGGTTTTGTGGGTATGAAGCCTATTGGATGTTCGTTGGGATCTCGCGGGAGGCCTCTCGGGGGCCTCTTGGAGGCAGTTTTGAGACCTTTGGGGGGCCGTGTTGGGGCCTCTTGGGGCCTCTTTTGCGCCTCTTGGGGCCTCTTGGGGGCCTCTTGGAATGGAAGGCTCGGATTTTCGGCTCATGTTGTCTTGGAGCGTCGGAAAGCCGAACAGGCGAGATCGCCAAATCCTTCAAAACCTGAAGACACCTACTGGTTGCTGCTTCTGGGGATCCTCTTAAGAGGCATCTTGGAGGACTCTGGGGGGGTCTTGGAGGCCCCTTGGGCCATCCGGAGGCCACCTTAGGCGTCTTCGAGCGATCGTTCGGCGACCTGAGGCCCTCTTGGATCGTCTTGGAGGCTTCTGGGCCGTCCTTGGAGAGTCTCAGGGAGGCGCCATGGCCGCCCAGGGACCCGCCCGGCGTAGGTGTGGTGCAGTCGGGTGGGCGTGACCCAGCGGTGGGGAGGTTTCTGAGAAGATTACAAAAACCTTGCTTGGCAGCCCTTGGCATTCTTCCACGCCTCAAAGTACCGCAGGCACGGTGGCGGATAAGGCCGCGAAGGACGAGGATGAGCCACGAACCTATTGATATTAGATTTGTCGCACAACAGAAGCGATAGCCTCGTTGCCGTCCTACGTTTAGCCCTAAGCAGTCAGTTGTCGAGCGCCCATGTAGCAACATGTTCACGTTCGTATACGAATCATACGCACGACAAGCAGCTAATCGTATGCCCTGCTAGTGCAGATGTATACGTACCAAATGACTTGCCTGATTCACTGCGCGTGCATTCGGACGCGTGTGAAGGCTTGCGCGCGCGCGTGCAACACTCAATTCACGTGTGCGCGAGGACGTGCGGATATACATCCAAATGGTGTGAAGTAGGAGGGCGAGGGAAACGGATAATTACATATTTGCGTCCGGATGTGGTGCAATAAGCATGTTGGAACAATTGGCCATAGCCCATTCAGCTCGCGGGGCTGTTAGTTCGATGTGAATGCAAGCGCGCCGCCAGGATGGCATGCTTGCAATTGCTTCTTCCGGCGACTGCACTGCAGCTGGCAGCGGCCATCGCCTCAGCGGTCGGCCCGCGCGGTGCGTTCAAATCGCCCGTTTGTTTTGGCATCGGCGTCGTCGGCGTTCAAAAGCCGACGCCTTTCTCGGCGTGATCGCTCACCTGCAAAAGTGGAGCGCCGCGGTCGGCGCGCTATCCGCTAAGGCGATCCAGTTGACAGGCTTGGCCGACAGCGGCAACAAGTCCAGCAAACAGGAGAGAAGTCTGCCTCCTCTCTCTCTCCCTCCCCCCTCCCCCTCCCTGCTCCCTGCTCCCACTTCCCTTTCCTTCCAGCTCCATCCCCCCTCCGTAGAGGCCTGCCGGCCTGCCCATTCTGCCATCATGCCTGGGGCCCTCCAGGACGTCTCCGGGGGTTTTCGTTGTCGGCTTGGGTGGGAAATGTGCTGGGCATTTCACTTGGCGCGCCTTCTAAGGCAAGAGTTGTTCGGGCAGTCGCATCGGTGTTCAATATTTGGAGGCTCCGAGGATCACGCGGCAGAACGCAGACGTGCTCGGAATTTACCATGAGATCGGGGGTCCTGGCCCTTGGGCACCTGCAGTGCCCTTCTCATTACCCACTGCGGTATGAACCGTGGGACTCTCCGCTCATCACGTGCTCAAGACACGATGCCGGACGAGTAACTCCACCGTCTGGAGGGCGGTCCGTGCGTTTCTCTTCAGACATTTACAGCCTGGATCGTTTCCAAATTGTGATTCTCGCCTTTGCGCTGCGCACCCTCGTTCTCGAAGGTACCTGCAGTTAATTTCACCGATGTAAGGTGGTGTAGATTCAGACTGTTGCTCTCGCGTTTGGCGCCGTGGTCACTTGTTTTCGTAGTGTGGAACAGTGACACCGCGCTCGTCTCGCAACCCCTGTTTAGGTGTATGTGCGATTGTTACCGCGCGGGGATGTGCCCGTCATGTGCTCGGCCTGTGCGGGACATTCTGGTTTGATTATTTGGCTTAGACCGCACCGCGGACCCCTTGGGCTAGAGTCGTTGTTGCGGCTTCTGGGTGCTGCGTGACTGATGCTTGTATTTACATCGAAGACGCCTACGGCGAATCACCGCCGCCCTTTGCCCTGTTGGAAGCGCCTATGTGGCCGAACGTTGTGGCCATAGGCCTGCCAAGCTATCGGACCGTGTGTTCCCCGAATCGGTTTGGAAATCCTTCGGGGAACACGTGGGGGAGAAAGAGGAAGAGGAGGAGAGGGAGGAAGAAGGAGAGGGGGGGAGGATGCCTCTTCGGAGCCTCTTGAGGCACTCTTGGGCTCGATTGGGCCATCTTGGGACCGTCTTGGAGGCCATGTTGGTGCTATCTTGGGCTCTCTTGGAGCCTCTTGAGGGCCTCTTGGGGCCTTTCTGGGACTTCTCCGGGGCCTCTTTGGCCATCTTAGGGCGTTCCTGACCCGTCTGACGCCGTCGGGAGCCGTCTTGGGGGCCTCTCTGAACCGGCTTGGAGCCCTCTTGGGGCGATTCGGGGCCGTCTTGGAGGCCATCTTGGGCGTCTTGGAGGCTTCTTGGCCCGTCTTGGGGCCGTCTTGGGAGCCTCTTGGGCCGTCATGGGGCCATATTGGAGGCCTCATGGGCGATCTTGGGGCGATCTAGGGGGCCTCTTGGGCCAGGGCCGTCTTCAGCCGTCGGAGTGCCGAGAAGAAGCAAATGCGAACATCCCTCAAAAACCGAACGAAAATCAGTGATTTTGGCCTCTTCGGGCCCTCCTGGAGGACCTCTTGGAGGCCTCTTGGGTCGTGTTGGGCCGTCTTGGAGGCTTCTCGGGCGACCTTGGAGGTAATTTGGACTCTCTTGGGCCGTCTTGGAAGCCGTCTTGGACCATCGTGGGCGGACTTGGAGGCCATCTTGGAGGCCATCTTGGGCCAACGTGGCAATCTTGGAGGCCATCTTGAGCCGTCTTGGAGGATGTTTTGGGGGATTTAGGTCCTGGGCAATTTTTTTCGGGTGGCTGGCGGGATGGGCCGAAGCCCCAGGGGAAGTTCTTTTGGAAAAGAACCAAAACCAAAACCGAAAGAGTTCAGCACGCCAGGCACCCCTGTGATGAATCAACAGGGGGCGGCGGATCTAGTGGCAATCGGCCCATCCCGCCATCCCGCCACCGTGCCTGGGTTGTGTTTCGGAGGTCTTTTGGATGTTTTTTCGAGAGCCTGCCCGAGGTAGTTTGGAGGCCTCTGGGGGGCTGTGGTGGGGCCTCTTGGCACCTTTTGCGGGCATCTGGGGGGCCTCTTGGGGGTCTCTTGGGGGCCTCTGGGGGTCCCTTGGGGGCCTCTGTGGGGCCTCCTGGGGGCCTCTTGGGGTGGAAATCTAGAGTTTTGGGTTCGTGGTCCCCTTCTTGTGCCCCTGGGGCCCTCTTAGGACCCTCTTGGGCTGTTTTGAGCCCTCTTGGGCCGTCTTGGGGCCGTCTTGGGGCCCTCTTGGCGCCTTCTTGGGGGCCTCTTAGGCAATTTTGGGGCGGTCTTGGGGGCCTCTTGGGCCTTCTTCGGGCGTCGGAAGCCCGAAAGGTGAGAAAGCCAAAAACCTTAAACAAAAACCAATGACAATCAACGATTTTGGCCTCTTGGGGCCCTTTTGGGAGGCCTCTTCGAAGCCTCCTGGGGCGTCTTGGAGGAATCTTGGGCCGTCTGGAGGCCATCTTGGGCGTCTTGGAACGATGTCTCTGCGACTCGGGGCCCTCTTGGACCGTCTTGGAGGTCTCTTGGGGCCCTCGTGGCCCGTTTTGAGTCCCTCGATGCCCCCCCCGGCAGAATTTCTGGAGCAAAGTACTCCGCCTGGGCCGCCAGGGGAGACCCCCGGCCCTCTAAATCGACCGGGCCGGGCTCCCTGGGGAGGGGTTTGGGGAGGGGGAAGCATCTCACACGCCGATGAACCCCAGGGGGTCGGTGGATGACGGGAAGCGCCTCCGGCGTGGACCGTTGGTTCTCTGGTAAAATTGCATTTTTTCTTTAACTAATGGGCGCGGATTGCATCCGGAACCTTGCTGGCGGATGACGGAAAGCGCCTCCGGCGTGCACCGCTGGTTCTGGGGTTTCATTTTTTCTAACTAAGGGCTACGGATTCCATGCGGCACCTCGCTGGCGGATGACGGGAAGCGCCTTCTCGGAACGAGAAGGTGGTGGGAGTTTCTTAGGCCATGCTTCCCACGAGTTAATAAAGAACAGAGACGCGAGGGACCACGGGCTCGGGGTTGGGCGGGGTCGGTCGATCAGCGGATGACGGGAAGCGCCTTCTCGGAACGAGAAGGTGGTGGGAGTTTCTTAGGCCATGCTTCATGCGAGTTAACAAAGAAGGGACCACGGGCTCGGGGTTGGGCGGGGTCGCCAAAACGGCCGTTTCGCCCGAGACATCCTCGAAAAAGTGGGATCTTGAAGGACTTGTTTTAAGACGCTGTACGTCAAAAGTGAGGCTCCCGCTCGAGACATCCTCGAAAAAGTGAGATCTCCAGGGATCTCGCGACTTCGTCGAAATCTTAAAAATGAGGCTCTCGCTCGAGAGATCTCGAACAAATGGGATAGTGGACGAGCTGCTTCGAGACGTCTTCAGTTCAAACTGGGGCTCTCGCTCGAGACATCCTCGAAAAAACGGTGATATCCAGGGAGTTTGCGAAACGAGTCGGTCCGAGAAGAGCTCAAGAGGGCAACAAGAGTGTCCACGAATGCTCCAAGACGGTCCAAGATACCCTTTATCGTATTCATCATCATCCTCGCCTTCACTACTATCATCATTTTCGTCGTCATCATCGTCTCCAAAAGACCGGGAGCACGGCAGGATAAGCCCCAAGAGCGAAGGAGCACGGCAGAAAAAAGATCAGGAGCACGGCAGAATAGACCCCAAGAACTAAGGAGCACGGCAGAATAGGTCTCAAGTGCTAAGGAACACGGCAGAAGAAGACCAGGAACACGGCAGAATAGACCCCAAGAACTAAGGAGCACGGAGTAAAAATACCAGAAGCACGGCCGAATAGGCTCCAAGAGCGAAGGAGCACGGCAGAATACGCCCCAAGAGCGAAGGAGCACGGCAGAAAAATATTAGGAGCACGGCAGAATAGACCCGAAGAGCTAAGGAGCACGGCAGAATAGGCCCCAAGAGCGAAGGAACACGGCAAGAAATAACCCGGAGCATTGCAGAATAGACCCCAAGAGCTAAGGAGCACGGCAGAAAAAGACCAGGAGCACGGCAGAATAGGCCCCAAGAGCGAAGGAGCACGGCAGAAAAAAAACAGGAACGCGGCAGAATAGACCCCAAGAGCTACGGAGCACGGCAAAAAATAGACCCCATGAGCGAAAGAGCACGGCAGAAAAAAAACAGGAGCACGGCAGAATAGACCCCAAGAGCTAAGGAGCACGGCAGGAAAACACCAGAAGCACGGCAGAATTGGCCCCTAGAGCGCAGGAGCATGGCAGAAAAGACCAGGAGCACGGCAGAATAAACCCCAAGAGCTAAGGAACACGACAGAATAGGCTCCAAGAGCGAAGGAGCACGGCAGAAAAAGACCAGGAGCACGGTATAATAAATCCCGAGAGCTAAGACGCACGGAAGAAAAAGACCAGGAGCACGGCAGAATAGGCTCCAAGAGCGAAGGAGCACGGCAGGCCAGGAGCACGGCAGAATAGACTCCAAAAGCTAAGGAGCACGGCAGAATAGACTCCCAAAGCTAAGGAGTTTTACGTGGGAATCCGTGCGCCTGCGCACGCAAGCTAAGAGAAGCGGCGCTTCCCGTTCTTGTCCGGATAGGTTCCCCCCAAAACGGCAGTTTCGCTCGAGACATCCTCTAACAAGTGGGATTTTGAAGGACTTGTTTTAAGAAGTTTTACGTCAAAAGTGAGGCTCCCGCTCGAGACATCCTCGAAAAAGTGAGATATCCAGGGATCTCGCGAATTCGTCGAAATCTTAAAAATAAGACTCGCTCGAGACATCTTCGAAAAAATGAGATCGTGGACGAGCTGCTTCGAGACGTCTTCAGTTCAAAATGGGGCTCTCGCTCGAGACATCGTCGCAAAACTGTGATATCCAGGAAGTTTGCGAAACGAGTCGGCCGGCGGATTTGATCTGGGGCCGTGAAAAGTTCTGACAACCTTCCAGATTGAGGACCCGCATGACTACACTCCACTCAGTGCCCGCGGCACTGGCGAATACCTGATGCGTCGCGTATCGCCACCTGATTGGAGGTCTCATTCGTTCTCTCTCTCGTTCTGACGAGCTGTTGTCGGACGTGTCGTGCTTCTCCTTGAGAACGGACTGCAGTGAGTGCGGACTGCGTGTCCCGCGGATTCTCCGGTGGCCTGCATCCTGGCGCCAGGCTCCCTGGGGGGCCGCCGCTGGTCCCGGGTCCGCCCTCTGTGGCTCTGGTACTCTTGCATCCCGTTTCTGTCGGTCCGCGGTGGCGGCGGCACCTCCCTCTCCAGCGTGGTCCACATTTGCCGGCGCACTGCCGGGATGTCCCTGCAGCTTCCACCCCCCACCGCGTACCTGTGTTCAGCGGCTTTCGGCTGCGCCCCCCCCCGCTGGAGGACGTGGAGTTGGACAAGAGGTACAGTGCTGAAGTGTGGGCTCTGCGGTTGCAGTGGGAAAGGACTGACTGTCCCGCCGGCTCCCCTGTGGCTTGCATCCTGGCGCCGGGTTCCTTGGGGGGCCGCCGCTGGTCCCGGGTCCGCCCTCTGCGGCTCCGGTACTCTTGCATCCCGATTATGTCGGTCAGCGGTGGCGGTGGCGCCACCCTCTCCAGCGTGGTCCACATGTGCCGGCGCACTGCCGGGATCCTCGTCCTGATCCCAGTTCCGTTCGCGCTTCCCTCCTCCCCCCGCAAAGGGTCAGGCCGTGAGTGCGAAACTCCAGCAACAGGTTCCACCCAGCCCGCTGAGGCCGAGAATGGGGTTCCCGTAGGGAACCTTGAGGCGTCCGTGGACGAGGTATCTGGATCGGTGACTGCGGTTTTCGGCTGAGCCCGTCATCTTCCTTCATTCGCTATGTCTCTGCGGCGTTCGGCTGCGCCCCACACCGATCAATTGTGAAGATTGCATCGGACGCAGAATACCCGTGTTCAGCGGCTTTCGGCTGCGCCCCCCCCCGCAGGTGGCCGTGGAGTGGGACAAGAGGTACAGTGCTGAAGTGTGGGCTCAGCGGCTGCAGTGGGAACGGACTGAGTTTCCCGCGGGCTCTCCTGTGGCTTGCATCCTGGCGCCAGGCTCCCTGGGGGGCCGCCGCTGGTCCCGGGTCCGCCCTCCGCGGCTCCGGTATTCTTGCATCCCACATGTGCCGGCGCACTGCCGGGATCCCCGTTCTGATCCCAGTTCCGTTTTCGCCTCCCTCCTCCCCCCGCAAAGGGTCAGGCCGTGAGTGCGAAGCTCCAGCAGCAGGTTCCACCCAGCCCCCAGAGGCCGAAAACGGGGTTCCCGTAGGGAACCGTGAGGCGTCCGTGGACGAGGTATCTGGATCGGCGACTGCGGCTTTCGGCTGCGCCCCCCATCTTCCTTCATTCACAATGTATCTGCGGCTTTCGGCTGCGCCCCCCACCGATCAACTGTGAACATCGCATCGGGCGCAGACTCCTCCGTCTCCTCCTCCTCTTCCTCCTCCTCCTCCTCCTCTTCCTCCTCCTCTTCCTTCATTCACCATGTCTCTGCGGCTTTCGGCTGCGCCCCCCCATTCAACTGGGAAGATTGCATCGGACGCAGTAGAGCGCCCGCCCTGAGACCTGCCAAGGGAGTATCGGCCCCTCGTCGCCGACCCAGCCACGGTTCTTTTATAAGAACGCAGTGGTATGTCAGCACGCCGCCAGCGAACAGTGCAGTTCTGCAGCTCGACAGCTGACAGCCGCCTGTTTGCCCTGGCGGCGGAGGCATCCGGCTTTTGCATGGGCAGCGTGGAGGTAATGGGTGGCTGTGGCTGTCCTCCATACACATGGTGATTGGCTTCATCAAGTGAGCGGCCCCGCATCGAGTGGTTGAGCCTTCCGCGGTCCAAGCTCGTGTCGCACTTTTCGGCACAACCATAGAGCTGCCCCGGCTACCAGCCCTCGTCAGTGTTTTGCATCGTTGTGCCCCCGAACTGCGGGAGTCGGATACGATGTGCAGGCACTGGCTACCGGCCGGAGGTGGCTCAGCCTCGTGAGCGCACACCAGTGGTCTCTACTGGACGGCGCTCTGATGCTGATCACCCACACATTTGCAAGTGTGCGGCCCTGCATGACTGGTTCAGCCTTCTGCAGTTCGTGGTCGCCTCTTCAGAGCAGCCCCGGCCACCTGCCCTTGTCAGTACTTTGCATCGTTGTGCCCCCGAAGTGCGTGAGTCGGAGACGATGTGCACGCACTGGCTACCGGCTGGAGGTGTGGATCGGGTGCGGCCGTCAGCCATACATTCGGTGACACCCGATGTTTGGTTTCGTCAAGGGAGTGGCCTTGCTTTGAGTGGTTCAGCCTTCTGCAGTTCGTGGTCGTTCCCCCTGCAGAGCAGTATGCAACCAGCCCCCGTCAGTACATTGCATTGTTTGGCCCCCGAACTGCATGAGTCGGGTACGATGTGCACGCACTGGGTTTGGCTGGATGTGGCTCAGCCTCGTGAGCGCACACCAGCGGGTTTCCTCCAGTGGATGGCGCTTCGACGCGGATCAGCTACACCTCAGCTTCAGTGAGCTTTGATGAGTCAGGTCTCTTTCGCCGCACCATCGTGACTCGTGGTGCTGCACTGTGCCTGTGATTGTCGCTCGCTTTGCTCTCTCCCCCTCCCCCCTTCCGTTGTTGCTGTTCCCCCCCGCCTCTTGGCCTCGCCTCCGAGTGTGGATCGGCCGGAGATTGGCGCCGAAAGGGCGACTTCTCCCCCCCGGTCAGCCGCCAGTCGCCGCGCCTGCGTCCTCACCTGTCGGGATGTATGGAACGGTCACCTGTTGACGCAGTATGCGTCTTAATGAGGGTCATTTTGCCCCTGGCACGGGCACTCGCCTCGGTGGCCAGTTTACTTCGTTCCGCGCCCCCGACGTTGATCCCGCTCCCTGTCCCTCGCCTTGGGGCCGCGAACCAAAAAAATATCGCCACCTGCCCACCCATCAGCGATACCCTGGCGTGTTGCATTGATCAGGGTCAGTGTGGGAGCACGTAGTGGAACAAAGAGGGAGGGCAGCTGTCAAATTGAAAATCGGGATCTGCTTGAGCAGCCTCAGGAGTCGTAAGCGCCTTCGCGGATGTTTCGATGATCGAGCTTGCTTGCAGTGTCGTAGGCAATTTTGGAGTCGTTTGGGCAGCATATCATGCCATCGTGTAGCCCTCTTGGGGCCCTCTTAGGGTTCGTTTGGGGCCCTCTTCTGGGGACCTCTCTTGGGGTTATGCTGGCGGCCATATATCAAAGAAGGGTGGGACAAATAAATAAGCCGCCCCTCGGAGGTAGATTGCCTTTTTGGATCCTTTCCAGGCGCTCCAGGGCGCTCTTAGGCATCCTGCCCCCCCCGTTTAGCTTTATTGGGCCATCTTGGAGCCATCGTGAGGCCTCAAGAGCGCATCAGAACGACACGGCGAGAAGAAACAAAAAGGTGATCTTCTTTTGCTGATGCGATTTGGGGAAGGCACATTGAGCTATTGTGGTCCTTCTTGGGCCTGTACTAGACGCTTTAACGCCTCGCGGCTGGTCCCGTTGTGACCGAGAGAGAAGAGGAGATTGCAAACTGCTCCCGGTTGGAAGAGGCTACCTACGACCAGAAGCCTACTACGCCCAGAGGCCACTTGCCATTGCATCATCCAGCTCGACATGCGCCTTGCACTTCTAGTTCTCTGGTTATCATGTTCTTTCGGACCTCAATCACGATCTGTCATTCGCTTATTGATCTCGCCGAGGAAACCATGCTTAGTGATCCAGACTTGTTGCGCGTCAACGGCCCGGATGTGCTGGACAACGCCGAGGAGCTTCGTGACGCGGCGCTTTTACATGCCAATGGCACCAAAGTGTACCCGTGGTCCGCCCAAGAGCGCAGTTAGTCCGCCGAACCGCCCACCACCACACAAGAGAAGGAGGGAGGCTAGGGCAGGAGGGAAGAAGGGAGGGAGCCCACCCCCGGCGAAGCGCAGTACCAGGCGCGGGTGCGAAGGGGAGATGCGCTTGTACGTACGACCGTCGTCTGGCGTCACGCCTTGCAGCGCGAAGCCCATCGCCGACCCGACTCCGCCTCCTCCTGGCGAGGCTGGCGTTGATGGTGGTGCCACCCGTTGGCGAGCGAAATGTCTAGACACTGTCTGGGAGATGAGATGCAAGTTCGCCCTTTCTGATTGCGATCTCGGACGAGCAGGGTTCGCACGACCTTTCTCTGACTGTTTAGGAGCGGTGCGTTTGTGCAAGAAACTCCCCGTGGCGCAGCTTGTGCATGTTCAGTTTCTCGCTGGGCTTCGGCGCGGCGAGCATGAGGGACAGGTGTGTGAGCATATAGGGCATGTCCTTCATACGCCTGCGCAGTACAGGCCAGACGAAGTGATCCAGACTCGGGTTCGAGGCGACCAGGCAATCGATATACCCCCATCATAAATCTGAAGAAAAGAATCAATTTTCGCTAGGGAGAATCAAGAATCTGGATTGGAACCTGGGCGTTGTCTTTGCTTTAATTCCTGGTCGAATTATCCGTAAGGGCTTCGCCCCCTGCCGCCGGCCCCCTTTCTCGGAGAATGGGCAATGCAAGAGCGAAATCATGAGGCCTTGGCGACGCCGTGAAGCAGCGTCGGGATTTCACGCGAAGACGATGAGTAATCGGCAAGACAAATTGAGATTCTGATGAGGTTTTTGTATTCGGTGTTGTATGTCGCGCTTACTCGCGTATGCTGTGCAACCGTTTTTTCTACGAAGTATTAGAATGTTGCAAATCCCATGTGTTTTTGTTAACCCTCACCCCACCGATCTGCGTGAGGGGTGCCACCGAATTTCAAGACATGTGGCAAGTCCCATTGGTTTTTCGACCCTGACCCCGCCGATCTGCATGAGGAGTGCCACCGAATTTCAGAAATGTAGCAAATCCCATATGTTTTTGGACCCTGATTTCGCCGATCTGCGTGAGGGGGGCCACCGAATTTCAAGACATGTGACACATCCCGTATGTTTTTGGACCCTGACCCCGCCGATCTGCGTGAGGGGTGCCACCGAATTTGAAAAATGTTGGAAATCTGATCTGTGTGAGGGGTGCCACCGAATTTCAGAAATGTAGCAAATCCTATAGGTTTGTTCGACCCTGACCCTGGCGATCTGCGCGAGGGGTGCCGCCGAATTTAAGAAGTGTGGCACATCCATATGGTTTTTCGACCCTGACCCGGGCGATCTGAGTGAGGGGTGCCGCCGAATGTCAGAAATGTGGCAAATCCCATTGGTTTTTCGATCCTGACCCTTGCGATCTGCGTAAGGGAGCCGCCGAATTTCAGAAATGTGGCAAATCCCATAGGTTTTTCGACCCTGACTCCGCCGATCTGCGTGAGCGGTGCCGCCGAATTTCAGAAACGTGGCAAATCCCATTCGGTTTTTCGACCCTGACTCCGCCGGTCTGCGCGATTGGTGCCTCCGAATATTTTGGAAATGTGGCAAATCCCATATGTTTTTCCTGGAAAGGGTGCCGGTCCAGGGTTCTCTTTTAGTATTGTTACCCCTAGTTTCGACTTGAAGGAGGCGGGCGAAATTATTTTTCGATAAATGAAAAGTTTGAAAGAGGCCGGCGGAATTATTTTTGAGGACATCTCAGGCGAAACGCTTGTTTTTCAGAATGTGTTGAGGATGTCTCGAGCGACACGCTGGTTTTGCAGAGTTTGGGGATGCCTCGAGCGGGGGCCTCGTGGTAGGCTAGAATTCAGAGGATGTCTCAGGCAAAATGCTTGTTTTCACGTCCCGCTCGCAGGAATTTCGAGGATGTCTCGCGCGTGCCGCGTCCCGCGCGCAGGAACTTCGAGGATGTCTCGACTAATTCGCTTGTTTTTCTTGTGTTTCCTTGGCCACACAGGGGGGTATCTAACATGTTCTGCCCGAGCTGGAACCACGTCGCTTCACGTGTCCAGGGCAGCACAGCCCTCGGCACGGTACATCAATATCGATACCCCTAGCACTGCAGCCTGGCATGTTGCCTGGCACGTTCCTCGGAGCGTCCCGTGGCGAGTCCCCCTGGCACGTCGCGCGGTGCACGTCCATTGGCACGTTCCGTGTCGCGTCCCCTTGGCACGTCCCGCGGTGCGTGCCCATGGCACGTCCCCTGGCACGTCGCCTGGCGCGTCCCTTGGGACGTTCCGCGGCGCGTCCTCTTGGCATGTTCCCTCTGTCGATTAGTTCTGGGGCAGCTACCATCTGCTCAGGCAGCTCGAGCTTACGATCGATCCCGATCAGTTCGGTGAGGACTCGGATGCCAGGGAGGACTCGATCCACAACGCTATATAGAGCACAATCGCGACATGGCACATCGCAGTTCAGCACGGCCCAGCACAGCACAGCCGTCGGCACGGTACATCAATATAGATACACTCAACTATGGACCTTGGCACGTTCTTTGGCGCGTTCCGTGGCAAGTCCACCTGGCACGTCGCGCGGCGCGTCCCCCTGGCACGTCGCGCGGTGCACGTCCATTGGCACGTTCCGTAGCGCGTCCCCTTGGCACGTCCCGCGGTGCGTCCCCATAGCACGTCCCCTGGCACGTCGCCTGGCGCGTCCCTTGGGACGTTCCGCGGCGCGTCCTCCTGGCATGTTCCCTCTGTCGATTAGTTCAGGGGCAGCTACCATCTGCTCAGGCAGCTCGAGCTTACGCTCCAGATCAGCTCGGTGAGGACTTGGATGCCAGGGAGGACTCGATCCACAACGCTATATATAGAGCACAATCGCGGCATGGCACATCGCAGTTCAGCACGGCGTAGCACAGCACAGCCTTCGGCACAGTACATCAGCATCGATACAGTCAGCATTGCATGTGCCCGTCGCCCAATCAGGTGTCTTTGAAATGTTGCAATGCCTTACATTTCTATATTCCTTTCCGGATTCGTGGGACGATCATGTTTTCTGCTTCCCCTGTCCAAGTGATGTAATTCGGCGCGTGCCCTCTTAATTCTTGACGCTTCGCTTATCCCCACCAGTCGTCTCTACTGTGTGGGTTGCGCCACGGCAAGCACTGAATTCCGAGACACTTTGTCCTGTGCACGTGCTCGAGCTTGCAGGGCGCCGTGCGCCGTCAGCTCCTCCCCTTCAGCTTCGCGGCTGCTGTCTGAGTGGGCCGGCCGGCCTGCGCCTGTTTTAGCTAATTCGCCTAGTTCGCGTCCCGGATTTTGCTCTTGCCGCCTGACCGTCGTCTCGCGGCCGCGACCGAAGAAAAAATCCCCACCAATCAGTGTGTACCTCGCCTTTCCCCACCAACATGTTTGAGAGGATCGCACGTGCAGGTCACCCACCTGTCCCCATTTGCACCTCCACCTGAGCGGTCTGAAGCCGCAGCGCGTAACACCGAATTCCCTGGCATTTTGCTCAGGGCTGCACGTTGCTCGAGCTTCCCTGGGCGTTCCAGTTCAGCCAGCCAGCCCCCGCCCTGCTGCCCCAGCTGCCGCCTTGTGAGCTGGCCCGGCCGGCTTGTGCTGCGCCCAGTAGCTAATTAGGTTTGCCCGTCGGCCCGGACACCCTGTTCGTCGCTTGCGCTCTTCGCTGGCAGCCGCGACCAAACAAATTATGCCCACCAGTCTCGGCGGCAGCCTCGGCAGCCGTGAGCGCCCGCTGGGAAATTAGGCTTCGCCCGTAGCCCGGGTTGACCTCTGACGCCGCATGCGCTTTCCCTTGCGGCTTCGACGGAAAATTATCCCCCCCCCCAGCGTTTTGGCAGCCGTGAGTGCGGTCGCTGAATAATTAGGTTCCGCCCGTAGCCCAGGTCGACCCTTGACGCCGCCTGTACCTTCGCTTGCGGCTGCGACAAAAAATACCCCCCCACCAGCCCCTCCAGAAACGATGCCCAGGCGAGTTGCCTCTCAGAGTCTCCTCGCATGTCTCTTGGAAAACGTGTGGAGGCCTCCTCGAGCTTCGGGGAGCCTCATAGGGCTTCTTGGGGTCTCTTGGGAGTCTCTTGGAAGCCTTTTTGGCGCCTCTTGGGGTCTCCTGGACGCCTCTTGGGGCCCTCTTGAGTCGCTCTTGGGAGCCTTGGGAGCGCTTTTGGGGCCATCTTGGAGGAGGTAGATCAAAACACATGGCCAATTACGTCACCCCCGCGGGAGCCTTCGGCATCGCCTCTTGGGCCCCTTTTGGGGGCTCTTGGAGCGTTTTTGGGGTCGTCTTGGGGCCCTCCTTTTCGTAGGGCCCTCTTGGAGTTGTCTTGTGGCCTCGGAAGGCCATCGGACGCGAAAAGGCGAGAAGGCACAAGTCATTGAGTTGTTTTAGATTGTTGACGGCATTTGGCCTATTGGCGGTTTCCTGGGGAGGCTCCGTGGCCACTCGGAGCCGTCTTGGAGCAGTCTTGGGGTCTTTTTGGAGTATCTTGGGAGCCAGTGTGAGCCATCTTGGGCTATCTTGAGCCATCTTGGAGGTTGTCTTGAGCTTTCTGAGGCCCTCCTAGAGCAATATTCGGCCATCTTGGACGCTGCATCGCCTCGCAAAAGGGGGAGGGGCAAACCCTTTTTCCCAAAGGGGAAGAGGAAGGGGTTGGAGGAGAAACCTTTCTAGACCACCCATGCCCAGAGGGCTGGTAGGATTCCGTCTTTAGGGTGCACTAGCGTCGACTAGCGTCTGGTAGTCGATGAGATAGCGCCGATTCAGCGTCGATTAGCGTCGGCTAGCGTCGATTAGTGTCAATATAGCGTCGATTAGAGTCGGCTAGCGTCGATCAGCGTCGATTCGCAAGAGCCACCAAGATGGTACGGGAGGCTCCCATGAGTTGACACCGAACGATGTAAGTCGTAAGGCATCACCCATGAGGCGTCGTGGCACGAGTGGTCGCCTGTGAGCAAGGGTAGAGCGAGGTGTGCTTGGTGCCTCTGTGCAGCCATGGTTGGTTCAGATCTGGCTGCGCTGGAGTGCCTAGGTTTTCCTGGTCTTCCTCTGGCAATTGCGTGGCAGCGAGCCGGCATATCTTGAAGGCCGATTGGGCTACGCGTTCTCGTCCTTTGACTTATTGCGTGTTGTGTGGAGCCTTTTCCAGAGCAGCGCCCAGGCTCTTTATTAGTCAAGCGGTGCGACAGCACCATGGTCTGTTCAGAAGGCCCATCAGTTGCGGCGTTTCCGCTTTGGGCGGGATCCGCAGCACCGCGGGCGCCATGAAAAGGTAATTTAGCCTCATGTGCGAACCTGCGCTTGATAAACACAACGGGGGTGATCGAGTATGTGATCGAGCAGGGGGGTGAATTCGTCTTCAAGCCCTCCGCAGGGGTTCTACACCCATGGAATGGACGCCCCTCGAGCTCGTCTGCAGGCTCGCGAAGCCCAGGCGGTCTAATTGTTAACGCTTCGCGTATCCCCACCAAACACATGCGTTTGCATTCATTGCATGTCTTACTGCAGGTGCTTGCCTATTGTATTTATGCGAGCTGGCTTGCCGACGCTGGCGGCTGTGTTCGCAAATTCGCACCGTTCCGCCGCCCCGGACGTCGCTCTCGCTCCTTGGCGGTCGCCTAGGAACCGCCACCCGCCCCCCAAAACATATCCCCAATAGATCGGTTTCTGACCCTGGTCGTCGTTTGTCCCGACTTCCTGGTGCGTCCGACGCCATGCATATCTGCACGCTGGCAGTTCGACTCAGTTGCAGCTGCCCCCATCCACTCGCCGGTCCGCCGCTGAGCTGCTGCGTGGGGCCCCGGTTAGCCGCTCTAGGTGTGGCCGCCCTCCGCTGCTTTAGTTTAATTCGTCGTTGCGTGCCTCGTTTTGACTGGACCCGCCGCCGGCGCACTCGCCCGCGGCCGCTGAGTAAAAAGTATCCCCGCCAGAAGATCCAACGAAAGACGCCAGTCGAGTTGCCCTGATCAGGCTCCTGGGGGCAATCTCTCTTGGGCCCTCGGGGGCTCTGTTGGGCCCAGTTGGAGCGCTCTTGGGGTTACCTTGGGGCAATCCTGGACGTCCTGGGGGCCAGTTTCGGCTTCTTGGGGCCCTCAACATGGCCTCTTGGGGCCCTCGTGGGGCGCTCTAGGGGCGGTCTTTGGGTGCTATCGGAACCATCTAGGGGCTTCAAGAGCCAATCGGAAACGATCTAGCGAGAAAGCAGCAATCGTTGATCCCCCATCGGTTCTGGACGGAGTTTAGCTTTTGGGAGGCCTCCATGGAAGGCACGGAGGGCACTTGAGCCGCCTTGGGGTGGTCTCTCAGGCTCTTGGAGGCACGTTGGAAGTTTGATTGGACGTTCTTGAGCTCTCCTGGGGCCCTTTTGAAGCCATCTTGGGCCACCTTGGACGCTCCAGCCCTTCGCGGAACGCCCCCTCCAGGCCCAGAAGGGGGGCAGGGTGAGGGGCAACCCGAGGGTTGCTGGGTTCATGGAGCGGTCCTGGAGGGCTCTCCGTCGGGCTTTCGTGTGTTCAAAGGCGCCCGAGTTTGGTCCACTGTTGAGGGTTGTCCTGGCCCAGGCGTTTCGCCTGGTGTCGTCACGTCGGCACCACATGCATCTGTATGGAGTCCTCCTCTTCCTGCTCCTCCTCCATGGAAGGACTGCCACACGTCCGTCGAGGGCGACGAGTGCTTCGAGAAAGTGAAGTGGGCGATGCAGACGGGCATCTTGCAGAATCCGAGTTGGTACCCTACATTGACCAGTAGCTCCAGCTTCGAGGAGACCCAGTGGAACCTGCACGCGTTCCTCCTCCTCCTCCTCTTCCCCTCCTCCTCCTCCTCCTCCTCCTCCTCTTCCTCCTCCTTTTCCTCCTCGTCCTCCCCTCCTCCTTCCTCCTCCTCCTCCTCCTCCTCCTCCTCCTCCTCCTCCTCCTCCTCCTCCTCCTCCTCCTCCTCCTCCTCCTCCTCCTCCTCCTCCTCCTCCTCTTCCTGCTCTGATTATTCATTTTCTATCGTGCATCCTCCTTCCTCATCACCTCCTCACCCCTCCTGCATCATACCTCCAACCTCCTCCGCGTCCATCTCTCTTGGCGCGGACCCTTTCTACCCCCTCCATTCCTCCCTGTCCTCCCGAAATGTCCCGTCTCCTTCTCCACCGCCTCATCGTTATCATAGTGGCGGGCTCAAGTGTGGCCTGGTCTGTACCGCTGCGCCTGCACCCAGCAGCGTGGCCGCACGCCCGCGGCACGGTGCGGTTTCGCCCTCCGCTGCGGCCCTCCGCCATGCGCGCGCAGTGCGCGTCGCAGGCCCGCCGTGCGCGGCTGCTGGCAATGGTGCTACGGTCGTGGTTCCTGCTGGATCGGACGGAGAGGGAGGATTGCGGAAATGACAGCACGCAAGTGGTTCCGGCCCCGCCGCCAGACACCTTGCACGACGCACGACCGTTCCCAGCGCAGGGAGGCGCCAGGACACATCGGATACCTGACCCGACCCTGGCGCCGCCGTTATGCCGCCCATCGCGGCGCCCGACTTCGAAGAGGTCGACAACGGCCTGGGCCCAGAGCGCGCGGCGATTCCTCGCCCGCCAGACTTGGTACTCGGCCAAGGGGTCGTCATGCAGGCCGACGCCGAGGCGGGCGCGCTAGTGCGCAGCAGCTGTGCGGGGGCGTGGAGGCGCCGTCTGTGGCTGGCAATCTTGCTAGTCGGCCTCCCCTTCATCTTCTGGGAGGACATGCAGGCTGTGAGGTGTGAGGGTGCAGGTGCTTGACGCGCATGGCCCCGCCATGTGGCGCAATCGCCCCGTGCCGCACCCCATGGTCTGGGGCCCGTGCCCGCTGAACGACTTCGTCGGTTGGGGTTGGCTCGCTCTTCGGCGTGCTCGCTTGGCTTTGACGGCAATTACTCCTTTGCGAGATGCGAGAAGTATTTTGATTGTTGCCGAGTCCCTGCTAGGATGCGTTATCTGCCCCGTTGGCAGACGTTCCCTGGAAGCTGCCTGGAATGAGGCGTGAGACGTTCTTTGGTGCCGAGTCCCTTCCAGTGCGGAGCAGGTCGCTTATGGTCCTGCGGTTTGTGTTCAGCTACAGGCTGGCCATCCTCGGATCTGTGGCCGTGGTTGGGCGTGCCGTCAGCTGCTCCTTGGGCCTCTGCGCCGTCGCGGCTTTGCGGGCCCGTGGAAGCATCATCGACCAGACCCGCGTCGCTCGCATCGTGATCGTAAATTTCGTTGAGGCCACGACTGGCTGCGCGGCGCTTGAGACACGAGCGCAGTGGTTCAATCCGCCTTCCGCCTCCACGGCCCTGTCGCCGTCATCTGCGTGCAGGCCCGTTTCGGGATCGCCATGTTGTTCTACGCCATCACTTCGGCTTTGAAGTTCGGGGCTCACGGCATGTCGCTTGACGTCGGAGGGTTGGGTGTGGCGGTGCGAGCAGTGCTCCACGTCCTGTGCTCGGTCCCTCGCCACCTCCATGTACGCCCGCCCACAGTCTCATTCCTCCAGGCGGTGGACATTTTGTGCGTCCGAACCAGGACCTCATGGCGGGACGACGGCGAGCCTCTGGCCCTTGTAGCGGTGGGCCCATTGGCAAGTTGTCGCACGCGGCGCGGGGGGGCCGCTTGGCCATGGGCGCCGCTTGCCCCATCGCTGTCGGTGAGTCTTTGACTGTGGGGCGCAGGCTCGCGCAAGCCACGGCGGTCTGTCTAGTTGGAATTTCGAGAGAGGCTGTTGCAACGTTGAGCGGGCAGGCCCCCCTCCGCCAGCAGATTCGAGCTGATCTTCAGGATCGGCACCCATGCACCGTCCCAAGGAGCCAATACGGTGCTTCATGTGTCCAGTACCAAGGCGTCTGCGATGGCGTCGGTACGCACCACCGCATCGTCAACGAACACGCCAGCCTGCTAAATAGCGACACCAGCATCCATGCCCCCAAACGGATCGGAACGCACCTAACTAATAGTCTGAATGCAGTTTCTGTTTGCGTAGCATGACGCACGCTCCTATTGCAGACCGTGCGATCACTTTTCGTGGGTATCTGGGGCCCTCAGGCACTCGAGATGCGGTCGCGTGTAATATCCATCTCTCTCTCTCTCTCTCTTTCCCTCTCTGCCCCCCGTTCTCTTCCGACCCTCGACCCCGCGATCCCGCCTGCCAGTGGACATTGCAGCCGCGCCTGCCGGACTCGAGGCGCCGAGCAGCGCGACCTTTCTCGAGAGGTCTCATTGAGTTCCTCGAATGTATCCAACACCCCAACCCCGAGCACATCGCGATCTCGGCGTCAGTTCCTGCGATGGCAGCTTCGGGGTTCTGCAGGATCTACCGTGCTTTTGGAGATAGGCTAGTCATCGGGATAGATCCACTCGCCGTCCCACTCTAATACCCCGTCGGGAAATGGGCTCGATGTTTGACTGGCGATATCCGCTGCATCTGCGTGATTGAAACGACATCCAGGGAGGCAGCAATTCCCGCGCCCCTGTTCGTTTTCCGCGATACGAGGCTTGTAGCCAACCGACCCGACGCGAACATATGACCTCGCTGTTGCCGAATTTGGCCCTTTTCAGCACTGTTGACTGAGCCTGCGCCGTCGCGGGGATGTCGCGACCGCCCGCGCAGCGTGGCAACGGGCAGTTTATTACGCCGCACCGCCTGCATTGTAATGTCTCCAGCATCTCCACAGCGAAAGACATGAGGAGGGCACCTTTGGGCGGGTCTGGTCTGCGCTGGCCATTGGTCGGAAATCTCATCTTTACAGTCCAAGCCCCAGCGCTTCGGACTTCCTTGGCGCCCTCTATGCGCCGCCAGGACAGTAGAAAGATTCCGCGTGGCCCCGCGGGCAATGGCCTCTGTCGCTCGCCAGGGGTTCGCGATCGCGACCCCGCAGGTTACCGCCCAAGTTCGCACCTCGCGGAACGTGGCCCCGCCATGTTCGTCGCCTTGGAAATACCTATCCACTAGGATGTTATGGTTGCACGCTTGGCCGCCCCAGCGAATTCGACCCCGCTTTCGCCCGCGCGGTAGAATGGAGGCTGCAGGGGGAGGGGGGAGAGGGGGAGGAGGAGGAGGAGGAGGGCCAGTGCAAACCCAAAACTCATTAACGATGTTGGAATGCACCCTCCACCCAAGCTCCCTCTTCATAGGCCCCTGTAATGGTTTATTTCCACTGGCCACTGAGGCAAGTGCCCCGTCGGGGGGCGATCGCGTGAAAACCCCAGGGCGCGCGGACATGCCGTTCTCGGGGTTTCAACGCCACGAGCCAACTTGATCGGTGCGTCTCGACGTTCTCGATACGCGCCAGAACGCCATTCTTTGGATTCCAACACCGCGAATCAACGCAACTATTTCGCCCGGGCAGTCCTGAATCGCGGCAGAAAACGCCAGCGCTGAGGCGAGAGCCACATGATAAAAAAGGGGCCGCCATCGACCCGCAAACCATGGGCAGGCTTGAAACCGAGTGTGCGCGGCGTTAAGACGAGAGCCACATGCTGATATCCACCCGTCCTCAATCCGCGACGCTCTCGCAGTTTTAACGACGAATGCGCGCGGCGCGAAGGCGGGGGCCACGCGTTGAAAACTGCCCGCCTCAATCCGCGAAACTCTTGCAAATCGTTTGAAACGAGCGCGCTTGGCGCGAAGGCGCGGGCTTCATTTTGAAAGCGGCCCGCCCTCCATGTTTGAATCAGCTGCCATTCGCTTAGCTCAAGGCTCATAATAGCTCAGGGGATCTGGCGAAACGCCCAACCCGCCTTTCCGACTGGCCTCGGGGCGCGACAGGGAGGAGTCATTCATAAAGAAAAGGAATGGCGAAAATGATTGAGAACATGAGGGCGAGGAGCAGACGGCTTCTCAGGGATTTCTTGGGCCTCTTGGGGCCTCCTGGGGCCTCTTGGGCGCTTCCTTGGGCTTCGTGGGCCGTCTGAGGGGGCCCGTGGGCCGTTGCGGTGCCTTTCAGGGGCGCTGCAGTGCCGTCTTCGGGCCCTTCTGGGAGCCCTTTGGGTATTATTTGGGCATTCGTGGGCCGACGTTGGGCCCCCTTCGGGGCCTCTTGGGCCTCTTGGGTCGCCTTGGGCGGTCGGAAACCCTAGCGGGGGAAAACCCCAATTTCCGTTTTTGAGCTAGCAAACGTAAGGGTCATCGTTCGTTCTGGCTTCCTCGGACTATCCTGGAGGGCCTCTCGGAGCCGTCTTGGAGCCCTCTTGGGCCGTCTTGGAGCCTTATTGGGCAGTGCTGGAGGCCTCTTGGGCTTTGGGTGGGCTTCTTGGGCCGTCAAGAGCCACCCTGGGCCGTCTCGGTGTCAGTTCGGCTGTCTTGGAAGCCGTCTTGGAGATTATCTCGGCCGCCTGGAGGCCGAAAGGGGAGCTGGTGGGCAAATTCAGAGGGGGCGATGTTCAAGGCGCGCGTGCGGCGAGGGTGGCGGGGCGGCCGCGGCGAACCATTAAGAAGCCCAGACAACATAATAACATTATAACATGCCCCAACGGGCGCAAGGCGGATGGCGGATACGCATCCAGCTATTATCTTTCGATCCTCTACCAAACTTCCATTCGTGCTTTTAGGTTCCTAGCCCAAACAGCTTCATCGTCTGGGCGGGGAGTGTCTCGACGCATGCGATCTGAGACCTGTTGCGTCTGACGCGGGTCGGGAACTCTTGCGGTGTCTCGGCGAAGCCAAACAGTTTCTCGTTGATTCTGGCGTAGACTAACGGAGGCTGCGGGAAGTAGATGCCCTCTTTCTTCACCGTGGCCCACGCGAGCTCGCGGCTCTCGTCTACACAGGTTGCCATTGC